CTCTCGGATGGCACTCCAGGTGGCAGGTCGTCGGGGAAAATGTCCGGGTACCTCCGAATCAGCTCCGCTAAACTCAGTGGTACAGCTGTACATAGCTTCTCGATGTCCTTTCCCTCGGTATCGAGTGCCAACTCGCGTAAGCAAACAGCGAACAGCTGCGCGCCCCTGTTGAAGTGGCGAGCTATAGTGATAGCTTTAACGCACGGTGCTTGGATGTAGTCAGGGGTCCATGCAGGTAATTTTATTAACCCCTCGTGCTTGCTGATGCTGCACGATCCCGTCGTCCAGTCGATAACGGGGTTGTGTCGTCGCAGCCAATCACGTCCCAGTAGTACGTCGCAGCCTTCCAACGTTGTCGCGAGAAACTTCATGCTGAAGCCGAAATCGTCGCCGCAGTCGATCCTGACCGTCCGTGTTTCTTCCGTTATCGCCAGAGGCGTCCCATCCACGAGGCGGGCATCAATTTCGGGCAGACACCTGTCAAGTTGCAGCTTGCATTTTTTTGCGCTCGCCAAGTTGAAGAGGCTATGGCTGGCCCCCCATCGACGAACATTTTCAGGTTATTTTTTAACACCTTGCCAGCGACCAGCACAGGGTGATCCACATGATTATCCCCGTTATTCGGCCGAGTGCGATCGATTGCATGAATCGGAACCACGACTCGGTGGGGATGATGGTGTTCGTGCGACGGAGCACAGTCAGTAAAGTGCCCGCTACTTACTGACTCTCCCATTTCCCTCCTCCTTCATGTCGTCCCTTGTCAGCGGCATTTTCTCCTGGCAGTCGTTCCTGTAGCGACCCACCTTCCCACACCGAAAACACGGACCCTTAGGAGGGCGGTCGGGTGTATGGACGGCGTTGATCGTGGCCCGATGGGTCTGGCCACGAAAGCGTCTCCCATCCCTGGAAGCTGCTCTCGCGTACTGCATCAGCACATCAGTTGACTCCGCCACACGTACTGCTTCGAGGAACGATGTCGGGCGGCTTCGACGGACCTCAAACTGTATTTCATATTTAAGGCCGCTGACGTATTTATCCAACCGCTCTGCTTACGACATGTCATCGATCTGATCGACGAAGCCCATAAATGACGCCGTGTAGTCTTGGACAGAAGCCATCTGCGACCATGCACGCAGCTTCATGCGAGCTTGCTCCGAGGCGGATACATGCTCGAAGCGATCTCGTAAGGCTGTGCCCCACTCCTTCCACGTGCGTATCTTAGTCACACCGAAGATCGGTTCTGCCACTCGATTAACCACTGTAGAGGTCCCGTCTGCCGCATGTGTCACACCTGTCGGAGTCCCTGTTTCTAAGGTCCGGCGCCACCACTCAAGCGCTGCGCCCCGAAGAAGTGAAACCGCGTAATTAATACGCGTGGCATCGTCGTTAACGCCTGCTGCCGTGAAGAAGACCTCGACACCGAACAGCCACCCCTTCACTGTAGTCGTCTTGTCCGTAGGATTAAACGGGGCCGGGTTGACGGGCTTGATCTTGATCGTCGTAACTGCAACTGGCGCTGCTGCCGCTCGCTGCCTATCTTCTTCTTCGAAGTCACGTGTGAGAGCATCCAGTGGGTTGCTCATCGCCTGACTGTTGCCCTCGCCTTCGTCCACAGGCGACTCCTGACGCGCTTCACCTCGCGTCTGGCGTAGCTCGGCGTTTTCCTCTCGTAGTGTTGTCACTTCCGCCATTAATGTCTTAATGCTCTCCTGCATCTCTGCCACTTGCGCCATCATCCGGTTAATAGCCTCCTGATCCATGTGCCTAGCACTACGTTTGGTGGGCAGTCGGGTCTCCGTGGCCTTCAGGCAAGTGAAAACACGAACTATCGGAGTCGGGCAGGATTGAATTAACAATCCCTGCAGCCAACCGTCGTGTAGTCACTAAACCAGCCACACCCTATGCCACCAAACTACCCTTGGAAAAGCGGGGTGAATTAGGAAATTAGCTATGATACCAGGTGTTATGAGTTGTAAAAGAGAGTGCGCAGGTAAACGAATAACGAGGCTGTGACTGAATGAACTGAGAATACAATGAATGCACAGACTAATGTAGGGCTAGCCTGTCTAGGAGGAAACCTCGGGAGATGAGGTTGGGTGCAGGTTTGGCGATGGGAATGCCGAAGGCGACGCGAGGAGCCTCGGCAGCGTTGAAATCGGCCGAACGTGCGAACTCCGAAAATCGGGCTGTACGCGAAGCAGTCAACCCCGATAAGGAATTCGGGAAAATTCATTACATTCATTATGTATGATGTCTGAAAAGAAACGTATGAATACAACTTGACTCTTGGTTTTCTTTTTGTTCACAAATCGCGCTGGCGGCTCGAGTTCCTGCGAGTGTCGCTTGGGAACCTCAGGGGTTATCGTGAGTCGTTGATGGGATGTCCAAGTTTGCTGTGTCCGTTCATCTCAGCCGTCTGCACAGTGGCTAGCGCGAAACTAACGGATCTGTCTGCCTGCCATGCTTCCACACCAAGGACTCTGGTTTGGCAGAGTTTGACGGCGTCTGGTTTGGCGGCGCGGTTTCGTGAAAAATGGTGGCAGAAATTTCATCTTCGAGCTGTTGTGTGGCTTTTGTATGTCGGAGTGGGAACTGGGAAAGACGAAAGCCGAGCCGTGTTGCACGAACCAGGATGACACATACGAACCGCCAAAATGTTGCGATTCGAGACCTACTGAGCAGGACTCCCCGCGCTTTCCGGTTGCCCGAGAGACGAGCGGAGGAACACTGCCAAGCCATTTTTTGCAGCGAATCCAACGAGGTCGTTACATTGTGTTCGCGATCTCGTGAGGCATTCGCAAAGTCAAATTGTTGCTGGGGAATGCATGATTTGCAGTTCCTGCTCACATGAAAGGAGGGATGGAATCCAAGCGTTGGGCGAGACACGAGATGGCAGGAGCATGCAGCATGGCACGCGCACCAGCAGCTGAAGCTGTAATTTGCGTGGAGGGCTAGCCCAGAGTTCAGGGACTCAGTCCAGTTGTTCTCTGCTCAACTGATTGACAGGGAAGGGAAGTCACTATGGTTCACATGAACGTCACGGTCACGACGGCGACTCTCTCCTCACGTAGAGCCAAACGCATCCCTCAGGTCATTTGCTAGCCCGAGCGAGCTTCCGTTGCGAGCCTCACAGAGGGCCTAGTCGTATTTCGCTTTGCTCCCCCGCTTCGTGAGCTCGTAGGTCTTACGTCTCTGCATGCGTGTCCCATTCGAGCGTTAGAAGGCGAGCTCTTATTTATCGACGTGACTATAGCAACTCTCTTTGTCGAGCGCATCTCAAGTGCCGCCTAGATCACCATACGTCCCGCCGTCACGACATCCCGACCGTTATTTGTAGCCCGTGACGAATATCCACTGCCTCTTGTTTCCCCCCCCCCCGCCATGCGCCCCGGTGGGGCTTCGCCGCTGGTTTTTCAAACTACTATTAGGTCGCTCCGCTCACGAAAGACGGCTCTCGCCCGTTATGATTAAGTCTCACTCGGGGGGAAACGAGACGAAACGGCCAAAACGCGAACGAGTCGATCAGGAGAACTATGCCGCTGCGAGACAAGATACGGCGTGTTGGCTGGGGAAACGGCCCAACGGATTGCGGGTAGATAGCGCGACGCGGGGTGCACTAGTGAGGAGATTAGGTGAGGGCGCGAGACATTACGAGGGTAGGATTGAAGCCACAGAGCATAAGAATGATACCTTTTCTCGAGAGCTTAGAGAAGCCACACAGGAAGACGACTGGGACCGCGAGGTGCGTCACGGTTTAGTGCCGACGTACTCGCACTCCCGTCCCCTGCCGGTGCTGTTCGCTCAGCCGCGCCAATCAGACGCCGGGATTCCAGAGGAAATCGACGAGCGCCGGCTGCGCGAGCGAGAAACCGGGGACGGTGGAGATGCAGGGACTGAGCGGATCGGAGAAATCGAAGGGATGGGAGGATGCGGAGGGATTGCGGCTAGTGGGGACGCTGTCAAACCGCGCAGCTGGCTGCGGGCAGCGGCTTGCGACGCGAGGCCGCGCGACGGTCGGGATGTGGACGGCTTGGTTTGCCGCCCAAGACTGGCACGTTCAAAGAAGAAAAACGCGGATTTCGCGGAAGTAGACGTAATCCAGCAGCTCCGGCCCGTCCGCTGCGCGCCGAGCAGGTCCAGTGGCCTGGCGAGTCGCAGCAGACTAGTGCGAAATAGACCGCGCGGTTCCAGTGGCTGGTGTAGCGGTGTGATGGCCTCCTTGGTCCTGCCGTCGTGGTCCGCCGTGCGGCTCCTGCTGCTCCTCTTACCGTTGGCGGTGGGCCCCTTGGGGTTTTGCGCGCACACTGTTCGCGCTGCTGCTCCCGCTCCGGCAGTTGCGGCAGATGGTTGCGGGGAGGGATGCGCGGGGATAGGCGCAGGGAGAGGGAGCGGGGAATGGGAGGGAGTGGGGGTGGTTCGTCCGAGGGCGGGCAGACGGTTAGGGGCTGTGGAAGAGCGGAGAAATGGCAGGAACAAGGCGACGGTCGTGCAGCAGCAGTCGCAGGATTCGCAACAGTCGCAGGACTCGCAGCAGTCGCAGGATTGGCAGAACCAGCAGAATCAACAAAATCAGCACAACGGGCAGAGCCAGCAAGGCGGGCAGAACCAGCAAAACGGGCAGAATCAGCAAAACGGGCAAATTCAGCAAAACGGGCAGAATCAGCAAAACGGGCAGGACGGGCAGAACGCGCAAAACGGGCAGGACGGGCTAAATCAGCAGCAGCAGCAGCAGCAGCAGCAGAGCTTGGGGCAGCACGACAACTCGTTGCAGGAGTGGCAGCAGCAGCAGCAAGGTGCGGAGTGGACGGCGGTGGGCGGCACGACGAGGAGCGTCATCGTGGGAATACCGCAGGAAGGTACGGCGGGACTCGAGCGGACTCGAGCGGGACATGAGCGGGACTTGAGCGGGACTCGAGCGGGACTTGAGCGGGACTTGAGCGGGACTTGAGCGGGACTCGAGCGGGACTTGAGCGGGACTTGAGCGGGACTTGAGCGGGGACATGGGAAGAATAGGGAGCAGCGACACGAGGTGGCTTGCATGTGGGTTTGGGCGTGTGGTCGTCGAAGCGCGAACGGAGGAGGAAGGAGGAAAGAGGGTTGAAGGGCGCTCACACGCGAGCCAGTCTTTGTGCGTGGAGGTTGGGAGATTGAAGGGTGGCGCAGCCGGGAAGCGGGCAGGCGGGTTGCTCATGGAGGCGGAAGAAAGCGCGTGCGAGGCGCACGGGGCTGTGGGAGAAGGAGGCGAGGCGGCGGTAGGAGGAGGCGGTGGATCAGAGGAGAAGGAAGAACGGGGGAAGAGTAAAGGGCGTTGTCGGCGCTCTGGTGATTTGGATCACGAGTTTCCATGGTTCCAATCATTCTCTGACTGCTTTGGCGATTCACATACCTCACTCCTTCTAACTCACTTCCTCACCCTCCTCAACTAACCCCTTTCCTCGCATCCGCGTCTCTCGCGGCGCCCTCTCCGCTTTCCCACCAGCGTCGCAGCTGGCGCAGGTGAAGGAGATTTTTGACCATGATGGTCGCTTGCAGTCGTGGGACGCCCAACGAGACTGCTCCACGTGGCAGTTCGTGGCGTGCAACGCGCAGGGCCACGTGATCGCGATGTGAGTGTGTCGTGGTGTGTGGGAGCGCGCTGACGTGGCATGGTGTAGGATGTGTTATGCAAATCCAATTCATGCGATTGCATGCGATGCGATACACCTGAAGGCGAGCTTTCGCCACCACGCCAAAGCCTTGGCGTGCGATTGATATAAACTGAAACAGCGTCACTCCGAAGGAAATGCGGACATGGCCGCCATCCCCCTCATGCTTCCTTGCGCTCCTCCCTGCCGCCCCCTGCCGTCCCCTCCCCCGCCATCAGCTCGCTGCGGGACTTCAAGGCGAACGTGACGGCGCTGCCGGACGGCCTCTCGTCGCTGCAATACCTCACCTACCTGTCAGTGCCCGCCCGCATACGCGCACACACCATTCGCTCACACGCTCACGCGGAAACGCATTCACACACGCAGATTACGCAGTGTCACAGGCGCGCGCCATAGCACTCGCCGCCTCATTTCTCCTGCCTCTTCCCGTGCGTTCCCCCCCCCGTCGCCCTCTCTCCCCGTGCTGCAGCAATCTGGCGAACAACTACTTCCGCGGCTCCTTCCCGTCCGTGCTCACGCTCCTCACCAACCTGCAGACGCTGTCGGTGCCCTGCCCTGCCCTGCCTTTCCGTGCCGTGCCTTTCTGTGCGGTGCCCGTCCTTTCCATACTGTGCCATGCCATGCCATGGTATCCCATGCTGTGACGCTCGCCTTGACTCCATGCGTTGACCGCGAATCGCACAGCTCCCATCTGTCGTGCGCTCCGCCGTCCAATTCTGTCTCTCCGCCTTGCTTCACGCACGCGCATACTACTTGCGCACTATCCGCACAATCACGTTCCTTCACTCGCTCTCCGTCGCCTTCTCATGTCGCCCCTCGTGTCCATGCCCGTTGCAAAACTCTTGGCCGTCCGATCACCCACGTGGTCCCTCCCCGTGGTGCATTCCCGCAGCGATCTGAGCGCGGCGCCGCTAGGGTTTGGCGCGTGGGGCGTGACGGGATCGCTACCCGATGGCATCTCCGTGCTCTCGCGCCTCACTGCGCTGTCAGTGCCTCCTCCCTCACGCCATTGCGGCTCCACATGAGAGATTGACTTGCACATTTAGGCTTAACCCCTCATATTTGAGAGTTCAGTGAAGCTTCCATGGAACACGTTCGGTGAAACACACGCACACGCACACGTGCTCGCGAACACTTATGCAAGGAATCGCCCGCCCTTGTATACGTGCTGCACTGCACCGTTTGTCCGCGCATACCGTCAACGCCCCTCCCACCGTGCCCTGTGTGGTGCGTCCTTCGTCCGCCCACCAGGTCGCTCGCGTACAACCGCCTGTCGGGGTCGTGTTTTGTGACGCCTAAAATTATGCGGTGCCCCTCGCTCCCCCTCGCTTCCCCTCGCTGCCCTCGCCTCCCTTCGTCCCCCTCACCAGGTCGCTGGCGTACAACCGTCTGTCGGGGTCGCTGCCCAACGCCATCGCGTCGCTCGTCAACCTGCGCAGCCTGTCAGTCGCCGTTACTTTCTCTCATTCGTTGCTGCCTGGAGCTTGCTTCTGCGAATGCTCAAAAGCGCCCCGCTCCTCGTCACTTGCTGCTCCCCCTTGTTCCTTCAACGCTGCGTTTCCTGCCCTCGTGCCCTCGTGCCCTCGTGCCCTCGTGCCCTCGTGCCCTCGTTCCCGCGTTCCCTGTTGGCTTGCCTGTATCGGGATCCCATTCTCTCTTGCTGTCTCTTGCCCCCCTGCCCCGCCCCTCAATCTCTCGCGCTCTAATCACGCGTTGTGCGACCAGCAATCTGTCGTTCAACTACTTCTCCGGCTCCCTGCCAGCTGCGCTTGGCGACCTTCCTGTGCTGGAAGACCTGTGAGTGCGACTGTACCCTCCTCTCCCCTGCACACTCGCACACACACCATCGCCACACACAAGGCATTTTAGTGCACCAGGTCCGAGCAAGAAGCGCTCCCCACACCACCACTAAGCCGTGCTGTGCAGTTGCCGTAACCATCTGCCACTCTAGTGGCGTTCAGGGGCTTGCTGTGTCTGTCTTCGTGCTGCCGCTGCTCTTCAACCTCTCTCTGTGTCTCGCTGTGTGCCCCTGTGTGTCTCACTATGCCTGTGTGCCTGTGCGTGCAGCGATCTGACGAGCAACGACTTCTCAGGACCCGTTCCCAACTCCTTCTCCGGCCTCCAGACTCTCCAGACCCTGTCAGTCACCCACCTCCTTCCATACCTTCACCTCCTCGCCTCTCTTCCCCTCTCTGGCTTTCTCTCCCTCTCCCTCTCCCTCTCCCTCTCCCTCTCCCTCTCCCTCTTCCTCTCCCTCTTCCTCTCCCACGCCCTTCTCGCCGCCATCTCATGCAATGTTCCTCGTTGCTCACTGCCCTCCGCGCTTCCTGCAAGTCCACCACTAGCGTCCCACCTTCTGTCTCGAACCCCAGCAACGTCACAGAGAAACCTGCCCACGCCCCACCCTCACCCGTTGCCTCTTCCCTCTTTCCCCCTCGCCCCTTCCTCCCTCTCCCTTCCCCTCCCCTCCCCTCCTCTCCCATCCTTTCCCCTCTTCTCCCCTCCCCTCCTCTCCTGTCCCTCCGCCACTGCATTCCCCCTCTCCCCGTGCAGGGCGTTGAGTTCAAATGGCTTCTCGGGACCGCTGCCCAACGTGCTCACCATCGCCACCAACCTGCAGTCACTGTACCCGCCGCACTGCCCTCTCCTTGCTTCCTCCCTGCCCTCTCCTTGCCTCCTCCCTGCCCTCTCCTTGCCTCCTCCCTGCCCTCTCCTTGCCTCCTCCCTGCCCTCTCCTTGCCTCCTCCCTGCCCTCTCCTTGCCTCCTCCCTGCCCTCTCCCTGCCTCCCTGCCCTCTCCCTGCCTCCTGCTCACAGCGTGCAGTCGCGTTTTTATCCCCTCCCTGCGTGCCGTCTTCCCTGCTCATTCTTCCAGCCTGCACTACTGCTGCTGCACCTCCTTTGGTTGCTTGTGCGCTGCTGTCGACTGTGCTGCTTGCTGCTGGTTGTCGTCGCTGGTGGCGTCGCTTCACCAGCTGTTTGTTTGCCCGTGTGTGTGTGTTTGCGATGCGCGTGGCAGGTCGTTGAGTTTCAACGCGTTTGAGGGCTCCATTCCCCGCGGCATCACGTTGCTGTCCACCCTCCGAGTGCTGTCAGTGCTGCCACACCCCTCTGCCACACCCTCTGACCCACTGTCCCGTTCATTGCTGCTCTGATTTGCACTACCAGAACCTCCCTTTCCCCATCACACACCCTCTTGCACTCTCACGCACTCTCTTGCATTCCCTTGCTCTTCCTCAACCTCTCAACATGTGTCTCTCCCCGCCCTCTCCCTACCGTACGTGTGTCTCCCTTTCCGGTGGTGGGGATGTGCAGGGAGCTGGCACATGCGAACATCTCAGGGGACTTTCCCTCCATGGACCGATGGACCAACCTCGTTGCCCTGTGCGTGCTCTCTCATGCACGCTCTCCCACTCGCTGAAACCCACCATGCCAACGCATAGCTATGCTTGCTATCTGGACCATCCAACTTCCGCTGTCGCGTTTCCTGCACCCTCCCACTCTTTCCCTGCTTCCGCTTCCATATTGCACGGAAGCACCCCTTATGTTATCTCTCCTTCCTCTGTTTCTCCACATGGCATGGCATGGCATGGCACGGCATGGCATGGCATGGCATGCAGGGATCTATCTTTCGCGAGTGGGCTGCGTGCGGTGCCTCTCTCCCTGGGCTTCCTTACCAACCTCACTAGACTGTAAGGCCTGCACCACCTGCTGCACCTCTCTCACTTTCCATAAACGTGCATGGTCGCTCCAGTCCCCTCACACTCATCCCATCCTCGCTCTCACTGCGCTTGCCTCAAACGTGAATGAGGAGGACTCTAAAAATCACTTGCCTGTGATGTAGACTCGTATGCGCCACCGCTGTTCTAACTCCTCGCCTGCTCATCCACCCTCTTCCAATTAGTCCGGCCGACCTCCCGAGTCCCGCTCCCCTCCCCCCCTTCCCCCTCTCCCGCTCCCCTCCCCCGCTCTTCTCCCTCACTCCTGCCCGTCTCCTTCTCCCCTCTGGCTGCCCCCACGTGCAGGTCCATAGAGCGCAGTGGGCTCACAGACACGCTCCCCACGCAGCTGTGTGGCTTGTGGCAGCTGCGACAACTGTACGTCACGCCCTGCCATGCTCGCTCACATGCTGCTACATGCCTGCCTCATGCTGCCATGCGCCAACATACATACGTGCACAGCCGGCCCTGCCCGTGCACAACCCCAGCTTGCATACCCATCATCCTCACCACTCGCCTCACCGCCTCCTCCGCTTCTTGCGTTCCTGCTGCTTCTCTCTGCGGTCCGCTGTCTCCTCATTCTCTTGCTCCTGCTCCGTGCTGCCTGTGCCTGTGCCTGTGCGTGTGTGTGCCCATGCCCATGTGTGTGACCCCAGGTCCCTGGCGCACAACGCCATATCGGGGGTTCTTCCTGACTGCATGGGCAACCTGCAGGCACTTGAATCACTGTTAGTACTGCGTGCCATGCCCTTCCATGCGTGCACCCTGCTCCATGTGCCATGCACCACGTGCCGTGTACCATGTATCCTGCACCATGCACCATATAAGTAGCATCTGTGATGGTCTCTTCATCTGTGTGTGTGTGTGCGTGCTGCATGCTGTGCACTGCTCACTGGCAGGGACTTGAGTCACAACAGTCTCGCCTCCAGTCTCCCCACCACCATAGGCAACCTGCGGCAAATCACCGCTATGTGAGGCTCCCTCATGCCGCCCGCACTTTGGAGTGCACTGCACCACCCACCAACCCCACGCCTCTTCGGATCCCATCTTCCTGCTATCCCCTCCTGATAGTTCCATCTTTGCTTTACCCTCCCTCTTCTCCTGTCCCCCCCTTGCCTTCCCTCAATGCACACTCTTCTCACAACCCTCCGCCTTCCCGGATCCCCATATGTCGACTTGCCCCTGTGCAGCAAGCTGGCGTTCAACTCGTTTGAGGGGCCGCTGCCTACGAGCCTGCAAGCGCTCTCATTCCTGCAGCACCTGTACGCACCCATATGCTATTCTTGAGCCTCAAACTCAAATACTCGCATGCGCTCATTCGCTGCTCTCTGCTTCCCTGCTCCCTCTGCTCTGACGTTACACACACATATACGCATGTGCACAAGCACATATGGTCATGACCAGTGGGTTGGTTGCACCTTCTCCCCCTGCTGCTCTACCCCTTCTCCTCTCTTACCCTCTCCGGAACCTCACCCTTTCCGCCCTCCCATTTCCGTGTCGTGTGCTCCCCAGGTCGTTGAGTCACAACGCATTGACAGGGCCGCTGCTACCCGGGCTGGCTGCAATCTCAGGGCTCACAGCCCTGTGAGTGGTGATGAGTGTTGTGCTGATGCGTGTTGTGGTGATGAGTGTTGTGGTGATGCGTGTTGTGGTGATGAGTGTTGTGGTGATGCGTGTTGTGGTGATGCGTGTTGTGGTGATGCGTGTCGTGCTGATGCGTGGTGGCAGTCTAAAATTCACGCGCCCACTTGCTGCTTTATGAGTGCACCAAGCACCACTCCTGTACTCGTGGATGCGATGTGCTGTGGTGTGGTCGTGTGTACGTTTCTGGTGTGCCAATGCACTCGTCCATCCACCCCCCCCCCCCCACCACCCCCCCTCTCCATCCCATGGTATATGCACACAACTCAACTGCCACAGGGACATGAGTGTTGATGCCTTCAACAACTCTCTCCCACTCGAGTTGACTTTTGAGTCGACTCATTAGCTTCAGTGCACCCATCCGTGCCCTCCCTCCCCCCCTCCTCCCTCCCATGGCATGTGCACACGGCTCAACTCAACTGCCACAGGGACATGAGTGACAACTCCTTCAACGGCTCCCTCCCACTCGAGTTCGCCTCACTCTCATCACTCTCCATTCTGTAAGGCCACGCTTGCCCAGGCATGCCGTAAAAGCCATCCCCATGCTTTGATATGCTATCCTGCCCTCCCCTCTAACCCTCTCGTCTCCCCTAGTCATCTGCTTTGTCAGTTCACACTGCCTACCGTGCACCCTCCCTTGCCGCCCAGGCGCCTCTTCCCTTCCCACTTCCATTCCTCTTATGCACATTCCATGCCATATTCCCCCTTTTTATTTTTCCCTTCTCTCTTCCCCCCTCTCCCACCGCTTCCTCCTCTCCTCCCTCCCGCATCAGCTCTCTAGCGCGGTCAGGCATAGCAGGAGCGCTGCCACATCGATTCAACTACTCCACGCTCCTCCTACTGTACGTCCGCGCCTTGCAGCCGTACCTTACCTTGCCGCTCAACCCGTCTTCTCTTGCGTGTCTCTCCTAGCATGCACTTCTCCTCCCCCTCGCTTCCTCTCCAACTCCTTCCTTCCGCCGCCACTTCCACCTTCTCTTCCCTGCTCGCTCTCTTTCACACGCATTCCCTCATGCTCGCACACCTTTCACGTACTCTGGTCAAGTACTCGGGCATGCACCCACATGCCATGCCACCACGTTATCAATCTTATCATGTCAACAATCCATACACCATACCGTCGCCCTGGCAGGGATCTGAGCGGCAATCGCCTCAGGGGAGAGCTACCTCGGGGATTTTTCCCTGCTCTAAGCCTCCTGTGGGTTTGCCTTCCTCTCTCCCCGTTCTTCATCTCTTTCTCTCCCCTCTCCCCACTTGCCTCCCTACCCCTGTTACTCACTCCTCGCTAGCCCTTCTCGTTCATGTTCTTCTTGTTTCCTTCTTCTTGTTCCCTTCTTTTTGTTTCCGTCTTTACATGCAAGTGCCCTTGCACAAGGCACTCAAAAGCGACTCATGATCTGGTGGACGGTGGTGACTTTTGAGTCGACTCAAAAGTCACCTCTGTTGGACGGTGGTGATACGAGAACTCAAGGCTTGTCCAGCGGCACGGCTGCTGCGCTGCATCTACCTGCAGACCCATCTCTGAATGAGCCCTCCTTGTTTCCTCGTTTTGATCTGTGCTTGGTGTGTGTGGGGCTGGCGGGTTCGCATGTGTGCGCCTGTGTGTGCCTGTATATGCCTCTCTGCATCTGTGTGTGTGTGTATCGCCTGTGGGCCCTGTCATGTGTGCTGCCACGTGTGCAGCAATCTGGGCTCCAACCGGCTAGTGGATGACGTGGATTCCTTCTTTGCTCGCGCACACGCCCCGCAGCTGCAGTCCTTGTAACCACCATCCCACACACACGCCCCACACACACGCCCCCCACACACGCCCCACACACACGCCCCACACACACGCCCCACACACACGCCCCACAAACACACCCCACACACGCGTGCCACACACACACCCCACACAGCGTTTCACATGTTTTTTCCCCTCTCCCCTTCCATTCTTTCTCTCTGCCCTCCCTTTTCCGCATTGACATCCTTCTCCACCGTCTCTCCATACCTCCACCCGTCCCTGCCCTCAAACCCACCCTTCCTTCGCCCTCACGCCTTACCTCCCCCCTCTTGTCCCTTACCTTCCCTCTACCCCTCCCTCCTTCCCCTCCGCCCCTGAACCCCACACACAACCCATCTCCACCCCAGGTTGCTAGGCAACAACACGCTATCAGGCTCACTCCCGGACTTCACGTCTGTATCGCCAGCGCTGTACCTAGCAGCGTTCAACGGCAACGCCATCATGCACACGCCCAAGCAGCTACTCTCCAACTCCTCGCTGCGCCTCATGTCAGTCCTCCCTCCCACCCTCCCTCCCTCCCAACCCCCACCCTCACGCCCTCCCTCCCTCACGCCCGTCCCGCCCCCCCAACCCTGCACTGCCCTGCGCTATGCCTTGTCCTGTTCATCCCCGCTGCCCGCACTCCGCTTGACTGCTTTGCTTTGCCTTCCTCTGCTTTGCTTTGCACCCCATTGCCTCTAGTTCTTCCCACCGTCTTTCCACTGCCCCTGCTTCTCCCCAGCTGCCCTCGCAGATCTCATGACTCATCCCTCCATCTCTCACCCCCCTCCATCTCCCAACCCTCCTCCCGTCCCCACTCCCACGCATGCCATCCAGCCTATCAGACAACCCAGTGTGCATCGACCCATCACCAGCCTCCCTCGCAGCGTGCTCCCCGCCGTCGCAAGAGCAGCTCTCCTGGACGGGCATCCCCGTACCAGCATGCATCAACACCACGTGCCAATTCGACACCCTTGCGCCATCGCCGCCGGTGTATGCGGCGCGGGCCGTGTGTGTGTGCGTGCCGGTGGCTGCTCTGGACCTGCTGCTGCTCGTGCCGCCGGTTGCGGCATTCAATGGCGCGGTGGCGGGGCGTCTGCAGGCGGCTCTTGCCGACGCTGTTGCCATGCCTCGGGAACAGGTACGGTGGGCGGGCGGTCAGCAGTGCGGGGAGAAGGGGGGGTAGTAGGGAGGGAGCGGATGGGCTGGCGGGGTGATGCGGCTTCAAACACCTTCAGCTTGGTTCATGTGTGGAACGCAGTCCGTCATCCATACTTGCATCTGCATCAGCGCACTATCGCTAACTTGCTCGAGGCCTGCTGTATCCCCCTCCTCACCCACCTTCCTAATACCCTCTGGCTTTTTCCTTCCTCAAAACCCCATCCCCCGTTTCTCCCCTTCCCACTGGCTCTTCTCCGCCCTGTGCGTGTGTGCTTCCCCGCAACAGTTGAGGATGCACAAGGCGGAGGCGGTGGCGCCATCACAGCAGAGGGTGCGCGTGCACGTGTACCCGCCTGCTCTCTCCGACCCAGACGCTGCGCTCGCACAGCTCAAGGCGTCGCTGCGCCTGCTGCGCGCCGCGCTGCCCATGCGCCTCGACTTCTTCGGACCCGTGCAGGAGATGGGTGAGCAGAGCGGCGTGCTTTGCTTTGGTTGGGGCGCGTATAGCGATACATCTCAGGGCGCCTTTTGAGTCGACTCAAAAGTCAGCCGCGTATAGCGATACATCTCAGGGCGCCTTTTGAGTCGACTCAAAAGTCAGCCGCGTATAGCGATACATCTCAGGGCGCCTTTTCAAGGGCTGCACTGCAGAATTCGCCTCAGATTTCGCTCTTTTCCATCGCTTAGAAAGTCGCGGCCCATGAGCCTGGCCTTCTTTTGTCCCGTGCTGGAGATGGGTGGGCATGGCTCATTGCATGCTGTGGCATGGCATGGGGCTGGTTGTGGTGTTGGTGCGGCTTCCACCAGCTGGGCATGCCAAGCGCCTTCCCCACTCACTTCCCTCTCACATATCCCCCTCTCACCTGCCCCCCTGTCTCCTGCCCCTCGTGCGTTGTATGGTGCAGTGGAGGACCCGCGAGTAGTGAGTCCGCTTGCTGCACTCAATGCATCCACCACTGCCAACTCCGCCAACTCCCCTTCAGGTACCATCCTCCTTAGGTTCCACCTACCTCAGGTTCACCCTCATCAAACTTCAACTCTTGCTTCTTGCTGCCCCGTCTGCTCTGCTCCTCACCTTTGTTAAGTCAACTCATCAGTCAATCACGAATCTGGCCTGTTCTGTGCCCCCTTCAACCACCCCCTCCCCTCCCCCCTCACCACCCCCCCCCCCCCCTCCCCAGACGCGTCCGCTGTGAGTTCAGTTCAGCCATGGTGTGGACCATTGTGTCTGTAGTCGTGGGGGCTCTGCTGCTCACATCTTTGAATCGGCTCAATGCTCACTCACTCACACCTCTCGCCTGTGCTGTGTTTCTCCCTGCATCCCTGCACACTTCCCACCAGACTCGTCCGCGGTGAGTTCAGTTCAGCCATGGTGTGGATCATAGTGTCGGTGGTCGGTGGGGCTCTGCTGCTCACGTCGTTTGAGTCGACTCAACGCTCACTCACACCTCTCGCCTGCGCTCTGTGCCTCCCTGCACGTGTGTCCTCCCTCCTTCCCCTCCCCCCTTCCCTCCCTCCCCCAGACTCGTCCGCGGTGAGTTCTGCCATGGTGTGGATCATTGTGTCGGTGGTCGTGGGGGTTCTGCTGCTCACCTCGCTGCTGCTGCTGCTCTTCCTCCGCCGCCGCTCACTCCCAGGTACGAGCCCATGAGTTGTTTTGCATGCACGCACACTGCAGCGCTTCACTCAACACCTCAGCCCATGTCACCCATGAGTGATTTTTATGAATTCTGAATCATTGATCACAGCATGTGGTGACAGCAGCTAGCATGTTCCACTCACTCCGACTCCCTACCTGCCCGCACGGAAGGCAAACCCTAAACCCTTCCCTTGCGTCATCTCCACCCAACCCCTCCCCATCTCCCACCCGTCCCCTCCCCATCCCCTACTCCGCCGCCCTCTCTCCCCTGGACCACCAGCCTGCAACGAGTGCGACGACACCAAGGCCTTCGCTGCAGGATCCGATTCCTCCTCCGCCCTGCAATCCGCACGCACGTCCGGCCCTCTGCCCCCCCCGTCTGCCACCGCCCCCGCTGGTGGCGCTGCAGCGGGGGGAGCGACAGGAACCGCAGCAGGAGGAAGAGGAGGGGGGTTAGGAGGGGGGGAAGGGGAGGGGAATGGAGGGATGTCGCTGGTAGAGAGTGTGCGGCAGCAGCTGGTGCGGCCAATGACCCTCGCAGAGCTGACGGAAGCCACGCAGGGGTTTGCGGAGGAGCGGGAGCTGGGGTCGGGGGCGTACGGCACGGTGTATCGGGGGGAGGGTGCGGACGGGCAGCAATGGGCGGTGAAGCGCAGCAGGCTCGTGTCGCGGGACACGATGCAGGTGTTCCGGAAAGAGGTACGTGTGGCGGTGGTGGTGGTGGTGGTAATGGTGGTTTTTCTCTCTCTTGTTCCTCTCATTCCATTAATTTTCTCTCGTTCCATCAGTGCACCCCCCCCCCCCCCCTTTGAGACCTGACCTGTTCTCCCCTATTGCTTTTCTCTACCTGCCCCCATTCCCCCCTTCCCCACCCCCATCCCCCCTTCCCATCCCCCCTTTCCCCTTCCCCCATTCCCCTTCTCTTCCCCGTCCCCTTCAACCCCTTCCGCCCCCACCCCCCTGTTCCCCATTCCCCTTTCGCCACTGTGGTGCGGTGGTGCGGTGGTCATGCAGGTGAGTGTGATATCGCAGATGAGTCACCGGCATCTGGTGAAGCTGCTGGGGTACTGTGACACGGACAGGGAGCACATACTCGTCTACGAGTTCGTCCCCAATGGCACCCTCGCACAGCACCTCCGCCCCAAACGTGCGTCTCTCTCCTCTCTCCTCACTCCTGCCTGCTCCTGCGCGCTCTCTCTCTCCCTCTCACTCCTCTTCCACACGCACTTGCATCCCGGCCGCCTTATCCCCGTCCCATCCGCCGCCCCCTCTCCACTCTCTCTCTCTCTCTCTCTCTCTCTCTCTCTCTCTCTCTCTCTCTCTCTCTCTCTCTCTCTCTCTCTCTCTCTCTCTCTCTCGCTGCCTGTAGCAAACGAGCTCCGAGCTGCTCTGAAAGCGCCTGAAATCCCTCTCGTCCGCCATTCCCAAACCCCAACCTTTTCGCCTCTCTTTCTCTCTCCCTGTGTGCAGCGGGCGAGCGGTGGGCTGCGCTGTCGTTTGAGCAGCGCGTGGACATAGCACTGGGCACGGCGCAGGCGCTGCAGTACCTGCACTCGTTCGGCACGCCTGCTATCATCCACCGCGACGTCAAGAGCGACAACATCCTGCTCACTGATACCATGCAGGTGAGAGCAGTCACTCACTCTTGTGCGCATACATTCATGCCATGCCGTGCATGCACGCATGGAAGAAGGCAGGCAGGCACTGCATCATCCCCCGTGATGTCAAGTCGGACGACATCCTGCTCACAGACACCATGCAGGTGAGAATAATCACTCACTCTTGCTCGTACACAGTCGCCATGCACATCCACGCATGTGCGCTGCGTGCTCACCCACCCCCACCCCCCCCACCCCCCCATATAACCTCTTTCATACCCTACCAGGCGAAGGTGTCGGACTTTGGGTTGCTCAAGGACATGGACGATGCAGATG